CATATATACACACACACATATATATGTATACTACATATACTACATATATATACACACTACATAAGAATTGAGGTAGTATACATTATTTTAAATCACTATTGTATGAAGTTAATACTATTTTTGCACATCAATCATCAATTTTTTATTCCAACAATGAAGAGGATATTTTTTGTATTGAAACAAAATTGAATATCTAAAAAATGCTCACATTTAGTCAAATAGTAATCAAAAACTTAGTCATATAATATAGTAAGAAACACTTTCAGAAAAAAAAAAAATTAAAAGGACTTGCAAATGAAAAAAGTATATTGTAACTATTTCTGCTAATAATTTAATTATAGCTTTTTAAATTGTACATTCAATAACAGTGGTCAAACCGAACTTGCTTTTATCATGCCTAGAATAAAAAGTATTCTTCACAGTTTTTCTAAATTAACAAATCTTATTATATTGTCTATTTGATCCTGAAATAAATTTTGGTTATATATATATATTCAGAAAAGAAATTTTTTTTTCCTACTTTCCTCTACATGAGGAATTCTTTTTTTTTTTTTTTTTTTTTTTGCAAACAATCATCACTATTACCATGTGTTTGATGGCCCACAGAGCTGCAGTGAGTTAACAGAAAGGCATAGTGTAGGAAAGAGGCTGCCCATGAAAACCCCACCTCTTACTCTTCCTCCTTTTGTGGATATGTTTGTCAGGAGATTACACACTTTGTTCTGCTCCTCACTGCCTTAAAGTTGAGAGAGGCAAGAGTAGTAGCAGAGGAACCCACAGGTTTCCTGGCTACTATGAGTGGGTGGATAAGTCTATATAATTTGAGAGATGAGGATAAGAGCACACTTAAAATTTCTGTAAACATTTTGTTATAACATCTAATAAATTTTTAATGAATATTTTGGTCTCTATGTTCCTTAGTCCTTTGTCTTTTAAAATTGATCCAGAACACAGTTTTGTTGCTTTATAGTAGACTCTCTTTCTCCCCCTAATTAAAGCCCACCAATTTTAAAGTCATTATTTTTGTCATATTCACTCATATTTTGTATTTTATATTCAGTACACAGATACACTTTAATTTTAGTATTTGTCATATATTGAATTATAATAAAATATATTACAAAAACGGTCATTAAATACATTCCACAGCTAGAAATCAATATCTCTCAGAAGTGCAATTTTTTCAAGATTGATTCTTTAAATTGAGTAGCTTATTTTAGATATTCAAACAGTGATGGAGTTTAGATATCATTATCCAAAATAGAAGCAAGCTGAATTACTATATTGATAAACAGTCTGGTAGCTATAAAATGAAATAAATGGGGAAAATAATATATATTGAAGAATGTTTTTTATAATTTATTTTTCTCTATAGATAGAATGATAATTCAATCACTGGCTTTATCTGTCATAAAATATCCCCTTAAGGGCTTCAAGAATGGTACCCAAAGTTTTATGTCTACATCAATAATATGATATATTAAATAACTCTTGGGGGAAAAAGGCATTTTTCATTTATTTCCTTTTTATGACTGTAAAACTAATAGTGAGTATTTCATAGTCAACTTATTTTGAAAAACATTGAAATTTTGTTGAAGATTTAGGTACTTAGGAAGCATCTAGTTATAATATGACTGGCTTTTTTGTTATTCTTTATGTTCTGATGAGTTCGTGTCCTTTGTAGGGACATGGATGTGACTGGCTTTTTGTTTAAAAGGTTTGCTTATATACATTACACACTAGTGTTATAGTTTTTGCTTTGTCTTAATTAATTAAGAGAAAGGAGTGGGGAAATTAGTTCAAATTAAATGCCACAAACTTCCATTTCTTTTAAAAAGTGCAGAAATACAATTTCAAATACATGTTCAATCAGGTAAAACGAGTGAAGGTTAAATGATAAACTCACAGCCACTAAAAAGATTTCTGTGTAAGTACAATAGCAATAATTTTAAAATTTCCAGAAATCATTCCTGGTATACATTTTAACTGCAGATAGTTTATATCTTTAAGCTATTTAAATTATTGTATGCATCTTTACTGAATTATTATCTTTAACAAACAAAAATTCCCACAGGAAAATAAAGTAACATTTTGAGAAGAAAAATAATTCCAGTACAAAAGAGTATGAAAACTCAATCCAAGGAATATTGAGAGATTAAAATGTAAGGGTGTCAATTCCATCTCTTTCCCCCTTTAAGGCAATACTTGAACAAAACTTTTAAGAAACTGAAGTAAAATCATTTAGAGAGAGTACATTGCCATCACTGGAAGATCGACCTCAAGTGATTAATGTCATAAATTTTGAAAAATGGTTTATACAATAAAATAACATACAAAACAAAAATGAATCTTAAAGCAAAAATGTGGCATTCATAGTACCAACATAGTAAAACATAGTTAAATTTTGAAACTAAGGAACACGAATGTATATGGGAACCGTTGGTGGTTTTTTATCTCTTCTGTCTTTGTCTTTTCCTTCTTTTCTTATCTGGAAAAATATATTTTATCTTCTGAAATACTTACGAGTGCTTTGAATCACTTATATAATAACAATGAAGTATGTGTTTCAAAATCACTGAACTTTTTTAGAGGAGGAGTTATAGAAATAATTTAAATTTTACCTTTCAGATTTTATACAATTAATAACAATTGACATTACTGAGCCAAATAGACACAGCTTTCACAGACTCACTCTTCACAATTATTGAAATATTTTATATGTTTTGGCTGTCTACACTAATACAATGAAAACAACTTCAATTCATCACATATTTAAATTATACCACATACTGTGCTAAGCACATTTTTTAACATTTATTTTAACCTTCCCATGTCCCATCACATAGGTGTTACTCTCCCCTTCTCTATTAAAAAAATCAAAATTCAGAGGAATTAATATATTTTAAAGTCTCACAGTTGACTAAAAAGCAGGGAGGGAGAATCAGGATTCAACAAGAATGTGGCTAATCTCTTTCTCTTCTTATTTTATCACTATCCTTTTGTGGAAGAAGGTAATGGAGAGATAGTGTGTATTTACAGTCAGACTTTTATTACTGCCTTAGTCACCTGTATTTTTCACCTTTAATGTCTTGAGATTCCATGCCAGAGTTATTTTCCACAATGTACTCAGGCATCCACTCATTTTTTCCACCTGTTCATGCCTTCCTTATCTACTCTTACTTGGTTACTGATTCTCATCAATTCTGAATCTATATTTGTGAATTTGATCCAGTTGGCTCTCCGGATTTGCTTTCATTCAGAATCATTCCTGAATTATAACTCAATTATTCTCTGTTAATATTATAAATGTTTACATATATCTAGTGATTTGGATGACCTCAGTCTCCAAAGAAAGTGAAGTTTTACTTATGTATTCATTTAACAAATAGGTAATGAGAACCTAGTGTAAATGAAGTGCAATTAGAGCCATGGGGATGAAGTGGTGAACAATACAGCTAGGGCCCTTATTTCTAAGAAAATACGCAAGAACTACAGATAATAAACCAATAGTCAAATAATTAAAATAATTTCACATAATAATAAATACAGTGAGAAATGCAAATTTGATCATGAAATAGTAGAGAACAATGGGGTTCACTGGGTGTCACTGATGAAAGCGTGGTCAGGAAAAAGCTTCATTGGAAAAATAACATTTGGGTAGAAAAATGTGAACATCATTGTGACTGTGACTGAAAAATAGAGCATGAGGAAGAGGTGAGAAGAGGCCTGAGTTTAAAGGTAGCATCCATCAGATCACTGATGTAAGGCCTTATAAATCATAGGGAGAGGCTTAGATTTGATTTTAAGTGGCTAGTTCTAGGTTTCAATTGAAACAGTGAATATGAACTGACTCAAGTTTTTAAAAGAGCTGTGTGAAAAAAGGACCATTGGAGTATTATAGGAAAAAAGAAAAAGTGATGATGTCTTGGTCTAGAGATGCTGGAGAGGAAGTGAGGAAAGACTTTGATGCTGGAGATGGGGTATATACCGGTGTAAAAAATTGACATGACTTGCTGAAAGACTGGGCTGGCAGGTTAAGGAAAGACAAGACATCCTCTAAGGCTAAAAAATGAACAAATTGCCCTTTGTGGCACCATATCATTGTTGTGAATCAGCCCGGCTATCTTTGGTAAATTCATTAAGAAATTGACAAGAAAGCAGGAATTCACTGTTTTTGTGGCTTTCCTATTGAATTTTATACAATCTTCTTCATTATAAGAAAGAGTATCATCTATTTCTAAATGAAATTTGGGACATTATTTGAAATCAAACATAAAATTAAAAATATATGTAAAGCTGGGATATTTTTTTGATTTTAGGAAAATGTTATATGTTGTTTATTACACATTATCTCCTAAAATGTCATTTAAGTATATTCAAAATGCTGAATCATACATCACTATGAAAAAGCCATATTTTTATGGCTAAATAGGATTTAACAATATCACACAATAGCTTCCTTAATTTTTACAAATGTATACATTGATCGAGAAAGTGACATTTATTCATTTCTACTTTCTTATGCGTCGTAATTATTTGTTTATCACTTTTTCTGTACCAGTTACAATCTGTATCAACTACAATCAGAAACACTAAAATGGCGCTAAAAATTTAATTGTAGTTATTTAACATGTACTCCAAGAAACCTTTCCTTCTCTCTATAAATAAAATTGATGACCCCACCTGTGACTGCTTATTATTCATGTATTTTAAATAAAAGTTTCCATATGACCTTAAGAGTGCAATAATTATGTCAAATATGTGTATGTTATTAGATTGTAAATAGCTTTCATGCAGAAACTAAGTAATATTCATCTGCTTCACAATTGTGAACACTGTGTGGGACATTTAATAATCATTCAAAATGTGTTGGATAAATGAATGAATGAGTTCTATAACTATTCATACTGTAGCTATCTGGATTAATTAACACTTTTCTGTGATTTATACAGTTTTATGCACAAGCACACAAAGGCACAAATACGTTCAAAGAGCCGTACCTCCCAGAGTAGCAGATAGCAAGAAATGTGTCCCATATTTCTTGATAAGGTTTTCTGTGATTTGCTGAAGGGTAGGTCGACGTCCCAAAAGTCTTATGTTGCGGAAGAATTCAGGGGCAAGAGGCAGAGGAGAGCCAAGGAAATTTCTTCTCTCAACTGCAAGGTTATTTACTTTCCAGCGGCCAAACTCCCTGAAAAGCAAATTTATTTTTATTCATAAATGCGTAATCTATCTGAATGTTTTCATTTGAGAAGTTCACTTGGTAGTTTAGCTGGGGTCAGTACATTACAATTACTCTTGCTTGTAATACTATGTTGTGTGCTAGGAGTAGGAAAAGAAATATTTATAATTTATTTAACTGGAGTGAATACTCTAAAACCAAGTCATGTAAAGAAAAAATAAGCCACCCAAAGTGAACAGCTTCCACCAAGATTTTTTTCCCCAAGAAAATATGTATTCATAAAAATGACTTTATTATGCCTAGAATATGACTATAGAGTTACTAAACTAACAAAATAACTAAAGTAATTTTTTTTTTTTGTTTTCTAAGGTATATTGAAAAAAAAAGAATGATTTATATTCATTATCCTAATGATTTCCTTTCTCTACTCACTTTAGAGTGAGAATGTAAAAACCCTCATGGGTATTAAGGAGCTGCAGAACTTTAAAAACATCATCAAAAGATAAACCAGTTTTCTTCTTTTTTTTTTATTTTTAATAATTATGGTTTACAACATATTTGGAAATCCAAATTCAGCTCTTGCAGTTTCTCAAGATGCAAAGTGATTTTATAGATAAATTTGGCCAAATTAGAAAAAATGAAAGATATGGTTATAAAAGATTTATACATTTTTTAAAAGAATTTATATATTTACACTGAGATAAAATCAGCCTGATAATAAATTAGAAAAGAATTATAGTAAACTGGGTGTGATTTTTTTTCTGAGAAGTGGTCCAATAAAATTCTCAAATGTCACCCACAGGGAAGAACACTTTACTAGGCTTAATACTTCAAGTGTGTTAATTCATATTTATAAAATAATCAAATAAAATGTTGATTAAACACTTTATACACATGTGCCATATTTATTTATATTTCTCTCCAAAAAAATGCTTGCAATGTGCCAGGCTCAGTGCATGATAAGAAATTCATCTACCGATGAGACCCATACTGTCCATCTGAAAGTAGCCTTCTCCTTTTGGAGAAATGTTTAGGAATAAATAAAAAAAGACAGAAAATTAATTTTTAAAAGTTTTAAATTCTAATATTTACTGAGAGATACACATACAGACCACTCTGATGAGAAATATGACTATATGAAGTGTGGCCATATTTTACATTACATGGCCAGAGAGGGTAACTCTGCGGAGACAACAATTAGGCAATATGTGAAATAATAATAATAAATTGCTTGGTGCAAGGAGGCAGGAAAAGGATTGACACAGAATAATGAGGAACAGTGCACATACTTCCAGGACAAAGGGGCATGACCCTGACAGTTTCTAACTATGGATATTTAGTACTTGTGGCACACATTTGACAGTCAAACAACCCATTTTTGTTACTAATTATATGATCAGAATCACTTTCGAATCTAGGGAAGACTTTGGCCTGAACATAAATTAGAAGCTCTTTCATCTTTGAGAAATTCTTGCTGTCTCCTGTAAGAATCAGCTCATCTAAACAGTTTTAATTAGCGTTTTTCTAAAAAGGGTTCTCAAACTTCAGCACCTATCAGAATCACCTGGAAACTTCACGACAGATTCTGATTCATTAGGTATTAGATAAGAGTTAGAATCTGCATTTTAAACAGACATGCTAGTGCTGCTCTTCTGGTGACCATACTTTGAATAAAACCACTGATATATACAATTTGGTATGTTGCCTTTCAGATCTCATCAAAATGCCATCTTTTCAGTAAATATAGGGCTTTCATAGACTGAATTTATTAAAATGTTCCCTCAAAATTGAGTAAGAATGTCTTTGTTATCTTTATAAGTTGATATAAATAAATTTTTATGCTATTCACTTCTATAATAAAGTTACTTAAATCTGAAGTGTAGGTACATAATAGTAAATGTATAATATATAAAATACATAATATTAAATATATGATATATAAATAAAAATTTAAACATTGAAAAAGATCATTTGAAATAAAATATGTAAGTCCTAAAATTTGATGATATACCTCAAGATATATAGTAATACAAAACTTCTACGAAGATATTTTTATACCATGATCAAAATAATATTTGCTCATTAATTCAAAAATTTATAGGCTTACTCTCATTTAATATTTTAGCTATTGTAAAATGCTTGTAATTTAATCAATAGAGAATAACGTAACTTTACCTTAAAGCTGTGACATATATTTTTCAGTGGTTTACAGTGCTAAATTTGTTAACTCAAATATATTCTTAGATTAAGATACAATCTAAGTGAAATAAGTAGACTAAAAAATCCAAGATGATTGATTCAATGGTAATATTTTATATCCTATACAAATGCTTTCTAAAATGCTGAAAGATTTTCGATACATGCTTTTCTAAAGATTTTCTAAAATGCTGAAAGAGTAAATACATGCTAGAAAAGTGCAATTCTATCTTTTTTAACAATTAGTAAATATACAAATATAAATCCATGATCTATTCTGAACTGATGTATTTATGACTTTCTTCATTTTGTTTCTCTCAAATAAGAACAATAGACATATTACAAAACAACTAACACAAATTATTTATTTTATGAAATCAGTTTATAAGACTATAATACTGCAGAATCAGCTATTCGAAGAAAATATTGTCTATTCTTTATTATCAACTAATATTATTGTCCATGTTGCTGGCAATACAGATGAACATAAGAAAAATCTATGACCTTGATGGCTCAAAGATTATACAAAGATAAAATATGAATGAATAAATTGCAATTCAAAGGCTTTAGAGTATTTTCTGTGAAAAATACAATTGTATAGTAGCTTAGTTAGCCCAACTCCTCTATCCCATTTATCACTGTTCTTTGATATGAATGGACCTAATCCAACTCACTTTGGATATGTTTTCTCTAAAGACCCTAAGAAGACTTCCTGAACAACTTTCCAAAGAGCCTTCTTCAGCTATTAGGTGCTTTTTACTCACTCAGTATGTTAAATTTGTAGTCTCACTTCACCTTCTAATATTTCAAATGATAAAACACTTTGCCACCCCATCTATTAATCTACTATATCTGTCATGCAAAAAACATAAAGAAAGAACAAACTCTGGGGACATCGCTAAACTCAGACTAATTTAATAACTAAGTAATTATAGTTACTGTTAATAACTAAAGAAAATTATTTTCTTAATTTCAAGAAACTTCATCTTCTAGTTTTCTCCCCATATTTTCATATAAAGCATAACGCAAAACACCACACCATTGTGTATATCCAACAAGGTTAGTTTATGTAGAAAACATAAATTTCAAATTGAAATCTAAGAGAGCTCTGATTTCCACTCCACATTTGGTTTGTATTGTCGTGATACATGATCACTGTTACAATCTTTATAAAGTGTTGCTGGAAACTGAGATAAAATAGCAAAATAATCCTAAGAAGTGGTGATATGAGCACTTTAAGTAAAGACAGTCATCTCTGGACAGCCACACTGTAACTAGTAAACATTAAATATGAATCAAAATCCCCAGTGTCACTTTTTCCTGAACACAAGATAAGACATTTACTGATGACATTTTAAGTCACTGTGGCCATGTGGCTTTATCTGGTGAAGATTTGTGAGCATATATGTATAACCTGGTCCATAAGCCCGGGACGTTGATTCGCAACTATAATCAGAATAGCTATGGTCCACATATATCCCTAAAGCTTAACAGGATGAACAAGTGAATGAACTGAAAATAAATTTTGTCATGTAAAGTCATCAAGATTATGGGAGGCTGAGGTGGGAGAATCACTTGAACCCAAGAGGCAGGGATGGCAGTGAACCAAGATCATGCCACCGCACTCCAGCAAAGATTATAGGATTATTTGATTTGCTTATTTTCTAGTAATATAATCTAGTATATCATTACTGATGTAAAGTTTTTGACTCTGGTAAATATTAGGAAGTTAATAAGGAGCTAATGTCTGTATATAAATTGGAACCTAAGGGGTGCAGATTTTTTTTTTCCTTGTTTCCTGAAGATAAGGTTCACCTCAGTTACAACTAGATCATGCATTATTTAAATGCTGGAAAAACAAAGCAATGGAGTGCTGAATTAAAAACATGCTGTTGGGTGTAATTATCATAATGAGAACATTTTACCTAAAGGCATCTCAGGATTTCATCCAGATGCTTTATGTTTATATTAAATAAGAACACTGTTGTATCTAACTAAGTGTTGTATTCAACTTGGAACCTTCACAGAACGTAACTGTCTTCCCATCATAACGTGTGAAAGTCTTTCAATTAAATAGGCACTATCATTAGAGTTTAATGTAACTCAGTCCCTTTCAAGGTACCACTGTTTTATAGAACACACATACGGGCTATAACCAGTTTAACCAGAACATTACTTTGAAAATATTTTTGGGGATCATACTCTAAGGAGCCTCTATTGGTTTATTAGAATTGTATGTTTGACTGCTAAAAATTCTGATGTGCAATCATCTATTATGTATTTCCACACAATATTTATTTTTCTACAATGTTTATTATAATTGTATCCCTGCTCAGCTTATAAAAAAGGCTGGAAAATAAGAATGACATCATTAAATTTCAGTTAAACGCCTGTCACATAATTGCCACATTGCCATTAACCTTTCTTATTAGCATTTAAATATATACAAATACACAAATGTACTCAGTATATTTAAAATATATTAACTGTCATGATTTCTTTAAAAGTGCACAAATATATTTGGTTTCCTCAAAACACAGAATTTGCCACTGTTCATATTAGAAATTTTGTATTAAATACCAAAGAATAAGAAAGCCAAAATATATTGACAAAAGCAGATGATGCAGTAGCTGAAAAGATTTACCTTTAACTGCTAATTTCCACTAAACGAAGTTGTCTAAAGTCCTACGTGCTATTATTACATTACTTTTCACATTACTGTATTTGTTGGCTAGTAATTTTATTAATAACCATTAAAATTTTCAGACACAACAGAATCTTAAAATAAATATATTACCTAAGCATTCATGTCT